GGGAGGAGACTGGTGTCTTGAGGAGTTAAGGCAAAGGTAGGTGGAAGTGAGTATGTAGTAGAAGAAAGGGTGAAACATTTAGTCTGTCTGCTGTGGATAGTGAGGGGAGGGAGAGGGGAAGGTGTTGGGGCTGTAGTTGGGATTGGAATGTCTAGATTCAGAGTGGCAAAAAAATTTGAAGTTGGAAGTGGGGAAGTAAGTAATTATAGAAGATGGTGTAGGAACATCTTGGGGAGGAGGGGGAGGGGCAGAGTGAGTGAAATTACTGGAATTGGGTTTATGAGAGAAACCTCGTCGCAGTGCTTCCTGTCTGGCTTGTATCTGAGAGTTGCCACCTCAGATTCAAACTTGTAGGTGGGGCTGCCTCTATAAAATACATTATGGGGGCCACTGCAGTTAGCACGTGTGCATCATTGTGCAGAGCAGTTTGATTGGTTATGACCAGGTTGGGCATTTAGGGGGCATTGGGCTGTGGAACGGCAGCGTTTGGCAGGATGTCCAAAACGGCAACAGTTATGACACTGACGAGGAGATTGGTATGTTCAAACAGGGAAGGATTGTCCACCAATGTAGATATGAAAGAAAAGGTAGTGGCTGCAGAAATTAATTATGGCAATGTTGGTGGGGTTCTTTCGATGACTTCTAGTAGGAATGGAGTAGCACTGTACTGATATCACATCATGGTCTTTGAGGTAGCCGAGTAAATATTCTCCACAATCTGATCAATCGATATCCATAGGGCAATTTGCTGGGGAGATGGAGACAGTTCTGGTAAAAGTATAAAGTACTAGTAGGCATTGAGGGGTGGGTAGTAGTTGATGTTCAGAGTCATGGTCAAAGGAGAGCCTGGGGTCAGGGAGCCGGGAGAGTTTGAATTGGTGGGGCTATTTGATGAAGGGGCAAGCCTCATTGCCCCTAATAAGGGTATTCTGTCTTCATTACTGGCCATGGCAAGCCTTGACTATGTTGGGGAAAGAAACAGTCCACCCCTCAGGGTCCCTTTGAGGGACAAGGGCTAGACAATCAAAACGGGAATACCGTGCCCATGGTTCCCTCAGGCCATTCAAGACTGGCACAAAGTCAGTCTTTCATCCTTTCAGCACGGTTCTTACACCTTAGGAAATGGATAGTAGAAAGGGTTGGAGAAGGGATGGAAATGAAAGAGGAGGGAGAAAAGACCATGCAAAATTAGTTGAGTCAGGGGCTAAGGCCCAAGGTAAGGAAGATCCCCAGCATTGGGTCCCAGTCCTCATCTCGTAAGCCACCCTACAGCAGCAATGGGCAAGGGATTGGTGGGATATTGGCTTTGATGAGCCTACAATATGTGGGAGAAGAGAAAAGGTCTACCGCTCAGGGTCCCCAAGACAGGTAAGGGCTAGATGATTTACCAAGGGAATATCATGCACTTGGCTCCCTGTGCCTATTCAGGACTGACAAAACTAGCCTTTCATCCTTTTAGCAGAGCTCTTACACCTTGGGAAGTGGAAAGATGGGATTGGAGAATAGAAGGAAAAGTAAAGGAAGAAGAAATGACTATGCAAAATTGGCGGAGCTGAGGATTGATGTCTAAGATAGTGGTGATTGCCCAATATTGGGCCTGAGTTCCTATCTTCTGTGCCTCCCAGGATAACAATGGGTATGAAATTCTGGGAGTAGAACCAAACAAAATTCAAGAAAAAAAGTACAGATAAGGAAAAGGAAGCCAGCTTTCATTAATACATATGAAGTTGTAATACTGAAAAGATAATTACATATCATGCATGGTGGTATTATTCTTTTCCTGCAATTATCACTATAAATTCTTTTCAAGAGTCTGGGGGATAACCAATGATACAAGTATTCAAGAAGACATTTATTTGTCATTTCTTTTTAATGAAATTAACTATAAGTGAGAAAGAACTGACCACTGATATAGAAAAAAGGAAAACACAATCAAAATTTTCACACATTAAACTGGTCTACTGTTACTTTTAGGCAATTTCAATATTTGGTGTCTACTCAATTTTGTAATTTTTCTATTTTGAATAGATTATCATACCAAGAAAAAAAGGAAATTACTCTTTTTTACATTACAAATGTGAATGAATACTCTTGCTTTCCATATGGAAATTATTATCTACATAAATGGCTGATTTGTACATTTCCATATAGCTTACAGATTCATAAAAAATATGCTTTAAAATACTTATATTAGAAAAAATATGTATTACTTTCATCCTACAATTAGAAACTTGTTTTTAAAGATTGCTTATAAATAAAAAATACAAGCCAAGAACATGCAATGAAATAAAAAAAAAAACTTAAAAATTGATAACTGGTAATTAATAATAATAATAATACCAATATCAATAATAATCACCATCATCATAACTATAACAAAAAAGATAACTATGATGATGATGATTATAATAATGATAATAATAATAATAATGATAATGATAATTATAAAAAATAATAATAACAATCATCATCATAATAATAATAGCAATCATTACCAGAATCTTAACAAGAACAATACAAATAATAATACTAATAAAAAATAATACCAATAATAACAATAATGATAATGAAAATGATAATGATGATGACCATAATCATTCTTTTTCATCAGATAAATATGAATTGTAACATGGAAGAGACATTACTATGATTTTTTTACAACCATTTTGTTACTCAAAAACTTTGTTTCACATTTTTACACCTTGAGAATATCAAACATTCTTAAATTAAACACAAAGATATTGGAACATCAATACATATAAAATAAATACAAGTGAAAGAGTATTTACAGTCTGGAGATGCATTGCTCTTTGTAACTTTTAAGAAAAAGTTTTAATGCATAAGGCACAAAATGCTGTATAATTAGAGTATAATCCTGTCATGTCTTTATCTCTCTCTCAAAAAAAACAGAAAAAAACAAGACACTACAAAGAAAACCTCAACATAATCTTTTTATATCATATAAAAAAGTTTACATATAACATGTTTTCAAAATATTCCTACTGATCAACTAATCACCACACACAATTTATACTAAATTAAGATCTATCACATTTGGCAGTGCTTAGTTTTACTGACTGGAATTAACTGTAAAATTTCACTACATACACAATATTATCACTTATCTAATTGTCTATCTCTCACTACCTATTGTACTGGTATTATTGAAAAAAGAGAGAAAAATTTTGATCTGTGTGCCAACAGCATGACATTAACATTCTTTGTTATTTTTGTTTTTCTTTGTTTACCTAGCACAACCTACATGGATGCTTCTCTGATTACAAATCCTTATTTAACAATAACATACTTTATGTGCATACCTTTTTGACTGAGAAATACTGTTTCATGGGATACTCTATTACAGCTAACACTTCATTTTGTGAGATCATGAATATGAATATGTATTCTAGAACATTATAGTAGAAAAAATGCTAAACATTCCTCAACCACCGACCACTTCCATAAGATAGTGATGATCAGGAACTGTGAGCAATTGAGCTGCAAATTAGTCATATTTCCATTACAAAGAGTGAATAGAGGAGAGAGGGGAATTGATATGGGTGGGAAGGGTAGAGTAAAAAAGTAAAGAAGAAAAAAGAGAAAAACAAACAGGAAACAAAGAATGACTACACTGCAATATTATGGGTTTTCACATTGAACACATATCAACGAGCTGCTGCAACACTGGTACTAAACTTGCAAAGCCAGTTTTACTATTTATAAATGGATCTGCACCTCAAAGTGCATACATACAATTTTAATTTACTACTGTGCATGAAACACAAGGTTTATCAAGTATCACATGTGTAAATCTTAGCTTTACTGTATCAGTAATCTAACCCTTTGTATGGTGGTACAAGTATTGTTCACTGTATTTTTCTTGTGAATTTTGTTGAACACAGATGGCTTTACAACTGCTCAGCAACCCAGGAGTCAATTAGTAAGCCTGACATGACCTCACCTCATTTCCCTATTCTTTGAATGTTTGAACAAGATGTTTATTCTAATAACAATATTACATTTATCATCAATAGCATTATGATTATCATAGATATCAAAATACTAACAGCAATAGAAAATAAAAATTATCTAAAATTCAAAGAAAAGGGCAAACAGGTGAGATAAGTATGACTGGTAATTGACTTTTTGATAACTTACTTGTGGAGCCATTAATGTGTAAACACTATTATGAAACTAAAATCACAGTGGACATGGCATGTATGTCATGCCATCTCAGCTCAAGGGTTAATAACTGAAAAGAATTTACTATACCATTTACCATACCTGGCTCTCTTTGCAAAGCCCTTCTTATATCTTTTTGTTCCAAATGAACAAAAAATCATTAATCTTACATAGACTGGAAGTACATTCTTACATTAGGATAAATGATAATGGATAATGTATTCAATAAACAGATTACATTACATGACATTATGCAGACAAAAATCCCACCTCATGATAAAAAACTGCAAATGCATCTTCTGTTTTACATCTTTTTAACTTCTGAATTTGCAATCACTGCAGTAACTGTACACATTAAAAAAATAGCAAATACACTTACACAATAAACAGTATGCTTTATACAGTAAACTGTTTCTTTAAGGAAATTACTTCTCTATAATCTATTGTTACTGTTCAGCATTAACACACTCACTTTCAAAGGTCCATCTTGAATGTTAACTAGAAAGGAATATATCTATCCTGCTATCTATCTTGTTTAAGTACAGCTCTTAAAACACTCAAACTCAACAGAGAAAAACAAATCAATCAATCTAAAAGAAAGAAAAAATTGTATAGCCACTACAAACAAATTGATCTAAACATCACAGGATCACTTTGGTGAAGATCTGTAAGTTGGGGAATCCTCATATGCTCCTCGTCTGAAAGGAGGAGCTCCATATATTGGCTCGTTATTCACACTCCACAAAGTAATTCTCTGTGGTGAAGGGGAGTAGTCCAACCGCTTTGCTAAGGAGTCCATGCCTCCACTCGCTCCACTG